CTCTCACCCTCTATCTCTCTCTGGTCAAATTAAAAAATAAATGAATGAATAAATAAAATAAAATAATTATTAAAAAAAAAAGAGAAAGAAATACTTCTGAGAGAGAGGTTGGCCAGGCCTCCTGAGTTTCCTGCGGTCATGAAGTCCTGGGCGGTGGTCAGCCTCGCAGGGATAATGGCTGACAGACCCCCTCTCAGGAGTGATACGGAACACGCTAATACAAAGACCCGGGCTAACTGAACCCTTCCAAGCACTTAGCCCGAACACTGTGCTGAGTGTTTTCAGGGATCTCCACATGAAATGCTTCAGCAACCCTGTGAGATCAGCCACTGAGGTGGACAGACGAGGCAGCTGAGGCTTTGTGAGACTGAATAATGTGGTCAGGGGACCAGCAGTCGGCATAATAGCTATGTTGCTGGACTCCTATGTGGTCGACCGCGGTTCGAGTCCCGGACCTGGTGGCTTAAACTCACTCCGGGTGTGTGTGCGTGTGTGCCCAAGATCCCGAGAGGAGAATGGAGAAGGGATAATAATAATAATAATGTGGTTGATAGCATGCAGCTGTTGTGTGGCAGAGTTGGGATTTCTAGGAAAAGGCCCAGACACTCTCTTGCTTGTGTAGGTGATTGAAAGTGGGACTTGGGACCAACAGGTGGCGTGGTGGTTAAGGTGGCTGGATCCCACATGGCTGGATGCCCGGTTCAAGTCCTAGACCTGGGGGGCTTGGAAACATGCCAGGCGTGTGTGTGTGTATGTGTGTGTGTGTGTGTGTGTGTGTGTGTGTGTGTGTATGTGTGTGACCAAAAACCCCTGAGAGAAAAATGACAGAGAAAGGATTGTAGCATGGCCATCTCCCTGGGGGGGTGATTTCTCCCTTTTTCACTCTCGCTCTGTCTCTGACAAGTGCAAGCATCCTATAGCAAACTAGAAAAAAAAGGGGGGGATGGACAAGGTGCTTTCTAGGCAAGACAGAAAGCTCCTATGAGACCCCCTTTCTCTCCCTTTGGGGCTACTTACTGCGTTCTCGGGATGGAAGATGTACGAGGCAGGAGAATTGTCCACGATGATCACCTTGCTCAGCTCCCGTCCAAGGCGACTCAGGTCCTTCACGTAGTTTCCACGGTGGAAAACACACGATTCTCGGAAGAG